AATTCCACAAAGAGGTCAAATTTTTCATTAACGAAGTCAACATCATAAAATACCTAATAGACAACCTTTGTAACTTAGTCATAACAACATACGAAAATTTCTATCATTTATTGGAACAAGAGGTTCAACACGATGAGAAGGTAAAACACGACATGCAAGAAATTATGGAGGTTGATACATTAATAGGTTTCATTACTGATATAGTTTCAGGGCTATATGAAAGCGATGAAATTTCTCCACCACGTATTGAATTTAATGAAGACATATTAAATGATACCGAAATGAATGTTTCTGAATAGTTATATATATTACACGTATTATTGTTCATCGAATGGATTGTAGATATTTTTCGATAATAATCTGTTTAATTCATTTTTCACGGCTTGAACTTTGTTCAGGTCTATAACTAGATGTGTTTCATCAAGTTCCTCTATAACAATATCATGTCTTTCTGAATCTATTTTAAGGATCAATGCTTTAATAGAAGGATCACACTGAACCATTACACCTTTAATAGCTGACGGCATTTCATACGTATATATACTTTAGAAATCTATTGATCTGCGTCAAGAAGATTTATTTGAATATATTTGATGATAACTTTTTGTGTAATTTTGATAATTGTCATGTTCCAAGTTATTTCAGTTGCATATTTGATTATAAGCTATTGGAAGAAGTGATCCTCCATAATGTCAGAGGAAGAAACAGTTCATAGTGATGATCCTATAGAAAAGGATTGTATCGAAAGAGAGAATATAAATAGTAATAAGAATGATGTTAGTAAAGATAATAAGGAAAACGTAATGAAGGATAAACAGGACATAAGTACAAATGACTCGGCAGAAATATTCCAAAATGACAAAGATGGGACTCAGAGTAATGGAGAATCACAGTATGGGACGAATAACGATAAAATAATTGAGAAAAATAGAGTACATGGGGACAAGGATGAAGAAGAGGAAGTAGAGACAGAAGGAGAAGAAGAGATAGACGGAGAAGAAGAAGAGACAGAAGGAGAAGAAGAGATAGACGGAGAAGAAGAAGAAGAAGAGGAGGAGGAGGAAGAAGAAGAAGAGGAAGAGCCCCCTAAACTCATATACCAGAGATTGAATGGATTACCGCAAAATTTCTTCAATAGGGACCCAATATCAGCATGTAATTTTTATGAGTCGGTTTTCATTTTCGCTACTCACTCAGGAATAATCCATATAACGAAGCCAGATTTTACGACAGTCAGAACATTCAAAGCACATAGAGCTTCAATTTTGTCAATATACACCGATGGCCATTATTTTGCGACTGGATCCATGGATGGCACGGTAGTTATAGGCTCACTCGCGGACGAGAAAGATATAATAGCATATGATTTCAAAAGGCCCATACATGCGGTTGTATTGGACGCCAATTATGCTAAATCAAGAAGCTTTGTGAGCGGTGGAATGAGTGGAAAAGTTTTATTTTCTTCTAAGAACTGGTTAGGTCAGAGAGCTGATCTCGTTTTAGATGAAAATAATGGTCCTATAGTCTGTATCCAACAAATCGACGATTTGTTGTTGTGGATGAATGACGTAGGTATAGTGATATACCAAATATCTAGGAAACAGAAAATATTGACTATAGATAAACCTAAAGATTCGCCTAGAAGCGATATATATTGGCCAAGAGTTCATTTTCCCGAGACAGATAGAATTTTCATTGCATGGGCGAACCGCATATGGTCTCTAAGAATATCGATAGGGAAATCAAATGATGTCAGTGAAGCATCCTCATCATCCAAAAGTAGGATATTACCTTCCACAGCTAGCATATCTTTTAGAATTATTCAAGAAAAAAAAGTTGAAATTGAGCATATTTTTAAACTAGACGATTTTGTATCGGGAATTGCTGGTTTCAAGGATGATTTAATTATGATCTTGACTTATGTTCCGCCCGAAAGAGACGAAATTACCAAAAATCTTATATTTAATAATCCGGACTTGAAATTAATCAATTCAACTACGGGGCAAGTTGAATTCGAAGAAGAAATTGGGCTCAAGAATATTGAAAACCTAGGATTAAATGATTTTTCATTAGGCTCACACATTGACCTGAACAGAACAAGATATTTTATTATGAGTGCTAAAGATGGTGTAATCGCTCAAGAACTTCAGCTTCACGACAGATTGGATTGGTTTCTTGAAAAAGAGAAATATCTAGAAGCATGGGAGATAAGTAAACATTTATCCTTGCTGCAAACAAAAAAATTGAATTTAGGTATATTGCATGTTGATAATTTAATTAAACTAGGTGAGTGGAAAGATGCTGCGAATTTCCTATCTTCTTTGCTCTATTTAGATGTTAATCAAATGCCTGATGGAGATACAAAGAGTACTATTTATACTTTTCTTTCTCAAAATCTGAACAATGAAGATCATGATTCCCTAGTACGAGAAATTATTACCCAATGGCAGAATTGGGCGAATATATTCATAAAGGCTAATCATATTGATTTATTGACAGATGTAATTCCAAAATCACCAAAATTGAATATAAAGGCTACAATTTATAATAAAATCTTGCAGTACTGGATACTTCATATTGATTCGGATGACACTTTTTTCAGATTGATTGATGAATGGCCTATTGACTTGTATGATGCTAAAAATATCGAATCTTTTATTGAGGAAATCTTAGAAAAAGATTCCAATCCTAAGCTTCGTAAATGCTTGGCGAACCTATATGTTAAGTCTTTCGACTTCAAAAAGGCTGTCCCACATTTAGTGTCGTTGAAGGATCCGAATATTATACAATTTTTATCATCAAATCACTTACTAGATAGTTTTTCAGATGATATTCCTAAGTATATATCTTTGAGATTTGAAGGTAAAGAACTTGAGACATTGCCTATTGATAAATTAGAGAATCGTTTGGATGATATAATAAATATTCTTGTCGAAAATAGGCACGAAGTACCTTCAGAACAGATTATGATAATGATGACTAAAAATCATCTTGACTTCATAAACTACTTTTATTTGGAAAGATTGACAGCGATTGATCCATTTCTAACTAAGCAATTTTCAAATGAACAAGTTGAATTATATTCTAGGTATGACAGTGGAAAGTTATTACCTTTTTTGTCAAAAAGTAGCACGTATGATATAGATCGAGCTATACGTCTTTGTGAATCAAACGACTTTACAGAAGAACTAGTATATTTATTGGGAAAGATAGGTGAAAATAAGAGAGCGTTAACATTGATAATGAATGAATTGGATGATCCTGAAAAAGCCATCAAATTTGCAAAGCACCAGAATGACAAGGAAGTATGGCATATGCTATTAAATTATTCTATGAAGAAGCCAGCTTTTATAAAGACATTAATTGAATGTGCGGACGACCAATCAAACTCTTTCTATGATCCTGTATCAATCATAAGAGGTATGCCTGATGATGTTGAGATTGAAGGTTTAAAGAATTCTGTTACAAAGATATCTAATAACAATGATCTAAACTTATTATTGAATCAATTGATATTAGGCATTTTATATAATCAATCAGAGGATGTATCTAATTATTTTAGATCTGATAAATTACGAGGTTTAGAAATTGATGTTAGCTCGAAGTCTGTTATACAATTAATTTCAAGGTTCGAAACGATTTTAGTAATGTCTATGAGAGACACGCATATTGATTTAGTCTCCGAAGCGGAATTTTTCAAAGACAATAATCGAAAGGTCTCCAACAATAAATCTTATACCGACTTAGATGAGAAACTAAAACATATCGCTTATCTTAAAAGGTATTTATCCCAACATAATTAGTTTCATTTTTACCATAGAATGTGGTCGCAGTGGTTTTTGCATACCTAACTTTTAATAGACATTAATACATAAATTTCATACGTCATATTCACCAAAAACACAGTAAAAAATTGACCAGATATGAGATAATATCCTTGCTAGTCCAGGCCCTTCGAAGACAGATCATTTGAGAGGCCTTGAAATAAATGATCGAATTGTGTCAAAATACTTTGTTGGTTTCTCGTCGTTTTTTATTGAATGCCCTGCATCTGCTGACTCTTCGAATATTCCAAACGATGAGGTAACAATTGCTCTCTTTTTGTCTATAATAAATATTTCCAGAGCCACTACATTCCCGAGCATTAGAATCTTTTTTTCCAGCGGCTATATCACATATGTAGGCTGCTCGTATAATATGCAAAAGCCACATAATTATATCTCGCAATAGCGCACGATCACCAATTGAACCCGGCAGTGAATACCACTCTTTGAACTACAACAAGCGATATACCGGCCAATATTATCGTACTGTACATGCTTATTTAAAGTTTAATATTCATTCGTTATATAATAGAAGCTAAACAAGTACAATATGACAACACTGGATTTTTTTTGCGGCTAGAAATAGAATTGAAAACGCTCACTTTCCGAAAGAAGTAGGGGCCACAACAGTTCAAGCGAGTAACGATAATACGCTATATATAAATAGAATACGCTTTAAATGAAAATGCCCTTATAAATTATGTCTCTGTCAGGAGCTAAATAAAGATGTGTTCGAACAAACTCTTGCTAAAACATATCTTCATAATTATTCGCGTAACATAGTAGTTCTGTAAAGTAATGCATCTTGACAGGACGTTAACAGACTTTAGATGATATAGTGCTGATAACTCAATAAGTCCTCGAGCACTAAGAACAGGGAATCTACATGCCTCGAACATGCTATCTCTAAGCTATATGTTTTGCTATCAGTAGTACACGTATTAATTTGATCGCATTTTTGATTGCGAACTACGATATATTTACGATGTTTATCTTTGTCTCAAACTTCATTTGAGCTTCAAATTTTTTTGGTGGGCCCCGTGGAACACTTTATGTGCAGTATTTGAAAATATTTAGTGAAAACTTCTTGTTTTTTCTATTATGCATTTATTGCTCTTCAACGTCTCCTTTTAGTATTAATTCATATCCTTTCATATTCTTTCAGAGGAATCCACAATGATTACTGATCATATATATTTTGGGTACGCAAGAGACCCATTTGTCTACGGGTCATTGGCGTTAGCCCTAGGTTTCGGAACTGTATATTATTTCAATAGGTTTAGCATATGGAAGACTATTAGGACCCTGGGAATAAAATGCATACACTCAAAGAATAAGTTATTTCATACCGTTTTCGGACTATTCTTGGTATTCCTTAATATATATGTGTGGGTTTACTTATCTTCCGGGAGTTTTACTACTCTAACATATTTAGGCTCGGACTTCCATCAGTCACCATTAACTCTGGCTATCTTAGACTTAAAGTATTCCAAGTTCAGTGTGCCAGGGTATTCTTTCATAGAAGAGAGAGTACAGTTTGAATCCACGGAAGACTTTGAATGTAATGTTGTTCAATTCAGTGATGAAATGTCCTCAAGCCCGGCAATTGCTGTAGACGGTGATTTAAGAAGAGTGAGAAACCAAGCATTCCAATTGGCGAACACTGAGTATCCAATAGCGAAGAACTGCTTTTTGGACAAAGATGATGAATCTGAGGACGAGATTCTTCTCAAAAAATGGGCAAAATTCTGTGGTAGTAGTGTTTGGTTATCCAAATATGAAGTTCATTTCTTTGTCAATAGAATAGTGTACGCGCATGAAAACGCAAGAAGCAGGCCCACCATCAGTCTCATCGATGTTCAAATTTTTGATCGCGATTGGAATGAACTACCTGACTTCAAGATCCCACTAGCTGACGGGTCAGAGCTTAATTTCCCGGGTCTTGTTAAGATTGATATAGATCAAAATCCTAAGCACAAACTTTCTGTTATGGGTCCTGAAGACCCTCGTGTTGTACTAAGGAAGTTCACTAACGATAAAGGCGAGTTGGAAGAAGAACCAGTGATTATTTTCAACATGCGTCGTACCGAAATTAACTGGAAAAGAGCCATGCATTTCTATAGACCCTTTAACGGTAATGATACTATCAGATTGTCGTTAAGAGATTTAAAGCCAAGATTTCGTGAGAAGAATTGGGCCCCGTTCTTTGATGATAGTGATCCTGATAATATTTATTTCATATACAATTTTAATCCCCTTCGTGTCATAAAATGTGGTCTTTCTGACGGTGTGTGTGATAAGGTTACTGGACCTAGTTTCATAGATTCAAAAGCCGACGAATCAAAGCATGTCGGTGCATTAAGAGGAGGAACCAATCTCATTCCAATACCGTCCGACCTTTTACCAAAGCATCTATTTTTTAGAAGATATTGGTTCGGTATTGCCAGATCTCATAATAGTGAGTGTGGATGTTTGAAGGAAATTTATAGACCGCACGCATTTATAATATCCAAAAATTTGGAGACTGGTGAATTTACATTGGACTATGTAAGCTCTTTGATGGACTTCAACGTTATTGCAGAACCATGGTCCACGGGTCAAGGTATATGTAAAGATGGGAAGAATGTTTTGATCCCGAACAGTATTGCCTATTGGGATTATGTTTTAAAATCGGATTCCACAGTTAAACAAGATTTTATGGGCATCACTTTTTCGGAAGCTGATAGAACAAATAAAATGGTCCATGTAAAAGGATTTTGGAGCCATATATTGAAAGCTTTGAACAGTAAGGAAAATGGTCAGGGATCTCAGTCGATAGCCAGAATAAAAGAATATTACGCGGGAAATAATACTGAGCTCGAGAATGAATTGTTAGGAAGATGTGCTACTTCTTTGGCCGAACAATATTGTGAAGACACTGCAATTACTCAGAACTGGATTGATCAGAATTAAGGATTTTCTTCTCATTTAATTACTTTTTTCAAAGTAGACTTTAGATAATTATTTATAGCTCTTTGAATCATAATATATATATATTAAGCATTAACTAATTATTTGACTATAATCTTGTAAAGAAGTCATATTTTAGAGCTCTTGGACCACAAACACCCATACCAACCCCATGTAGTCTGTAATAAGCTCGAGTAAAGCTCGAACGTGGGGATGTCTGATTTCATAAACATTGTAATTTAATTTGGAATTATTTACTTTCAATGATAACATTTCCTCTGCCTGATATAGATGCCTTACCACAGAAAAATTAAATTTTACTTGATAACATTGACTTGTACGATATAGGATTGAAATACTTGACAATAAAAAAAGAGGCTCTACAACGGAAACATCATAATATGAAGTACATTCAAACAGATATCATGATAAAAATTCGTCTGCTAAATACTCAGGCTAGGAAATAAATTTAACCGCTTCAAATATTCCAACCTTAATCGACTATATAACCAATTATTTAAGTGGAAAATGGATTTAATCTAGAAAAAAGATTACCTGTTGCTCTAGAAAATATATCAGTAGCCAAATGGTTTGCTTTACCGAATTTATCACATTTAGTGAATGCCATGGCGTTCGTCAAGGACAAAGAAATTGAAATAATGATTAGCAAGAAGTACAAAAATTCAAATTTCAAAAGTGCTAAGAATCCTAATACAACCCATGCTGCAGGCTGTACGTACAATAACGTCCAAAACACTTTAGAGTCGATTGGATTAATATAACGGTTTGGATCCGCCGTTTCAAATACCCACACATTTTCAAATTCTCCATTAGTCGATTTAATAACACTTATCTCATTCCACCATCTCAATCCTACCAATAACCTACCGGCTATGTTTTTCAAATTCCAAAAGTCACCGGAAACCAAAAGCACTATTATTATGAAATGTAAAATAAATTTGTTCTTCTTTGTTATAATCCCAATAAACAAAGTCCCAAATAAATATATGAATATAGGCGACACCCTGAAGAAAATGTAGAATAAAAGGGCAATTGGATGTGACGATTCTTTTAACTTTTGGGACCATGTCCATTCACTAGGAGATACATCCCTTCCAGAAGATGTCGAATTGGATTGTGCTGAAGGCTGTTGCGCTTGCTCCGGCACATCTGACTCAATGGCCGTATATGCTGAATTCATCGTTATCGTCTACTCTTTATTAAATGGTAAGATCTCTTTTAGAAACATCACGGGAATATATGCGAATAAATTCTTGAAAATGATTTTGTAAATCCCTTCATATAGACTATTTTAACTACTTGTTAAAAGACAACTAACATAACTATATTATAATGTCGTCAGCTTACCGTAGGTTCATAGGTGGTATTACCAGAACTCAGCTAGAAACAACTAAAGTAAGTGTTATTTAAATTTTAAATTTTTTGTAAGCTAATAGCTAGGACTAACAAAATTTTTAGTTTGGTTTTTACCTTTTAACCCCTATCTGTATAATGTACTACGTTGGGTTAGATTCTGATACGAAATTTAATTTGCCAGGGTTCTGGCCAGATCCAGCTACTTTAAACCAAGTGCCGAAAGAGCCACATGAAATTCAAGCCGAGATCGCAAGAATTAGAAGGGCAAGAGCAGAGAAGAGAAAGAGATTAGAAGCCAAGGCAAGGGAGTTAGGTATCGACGAGGAAGAAGTTAATTAGGTATGTTTTGAAGGGTTAGGATTATCAAAGATAATAAAATATAAACAACGCAGTGCTCATCTATCGTTATCAATCTAAAGTAAATAGTAAAAAAGAGTCAAATCATATGTGATTATTGATCTATATTAAAGTATATGTACATATAAAATACAAGTTTTATCGAAGCCAAAGAATGTACTTAGCTTGAGTCATTTGATTGTATTTCTTTTAGTTTTGTTGAAAGTTCCTTAAGTGTATTATCGGAAAGTTCCAAATCGACTGTTTGGGACATTTCAAGAAGCCTATTTAAGAGCTGATGAAGCTCTGCTTTTTTAGTACTATTAGAAACGGCACCAGGAGGCCCATCATTATCCTCTGGCGATATCCTCAGTAACCCATTAGAATTATTTGACAGATTTACATGTAAAACAGGCTCATTGAGCGATTCGTTGAAGGGTGTACCTTGGGGTACATATGAGGCCGAATTATTTGGGTTCGGAGCAAACAATTGTCTTCTCTTTTCACGATGTCCATATTCTTCAGTATTCATTTTGTCTGTTATAAATGGATTACTCGGCCCATTAACTGATGAATTATTCATATCCGCAACCCCTGAGACGTCTCCAGTGGCTACAAATTTTGATATTGGTGAAAGGGTATCTACGGACTCATTTGCCTTGCTTGATACTGATGCCTGAGATACAAGTGAATATTGTGGGTGTTGTATATCTTCCTGGCGCGATGATGACGAATTGTTATTAGCCACTTGTACTTCAGAAATTACATTACTTGTATCGGATAATAATGTATTAATATTCATTGAACTCAAATTATTGTTGTTATACTCAGGGTATTGCATTTCGGTACCGGTGAATAAATTCGTGTTGCTAGTAATGATATTGTCATTATTATTATTGTTAGTTGAGCTAACAATTGGAGTGGAAAACTGCTTTCCCATTATGTTCGTTGTAACATTGTGCTTGTGACTTAGGTTTGACTCCTTGAACCAATTTCCACCATTATCATCGGAATGAAAGTTCACGCTAGAGCCTGCTTTTTCCTTACCTGATTCATCAGAATCATAGGCTTCCAGTAAACAGCTACCAACTATTTCTTCGATTGAAACATAACTGAGTGTTACCTTTCCTCTTTCATTAACTAGTCCTAATAATTCATTTATTTCCCAAGGAATTACCACGTTAAGTGTTGCCATTACCTCGGATAATTTATCATAACTTTTCGATGTATCGTAATTATTAGTCGCTAAAGCCAATGGTTCCAAAGAGAAAGATGCATGTTTGGTGATAGCAGGATTATTTGATGGCCATGGTTTCTTGAAATTGATTAAATGTGACTTTTTCCATGCCATATGTATTTTTTCTTGTGTTATAGAATCCCAAGCTCTCTTGATCCACTCTATAACTTTTATCAACGGAATATGATAATCAGATTCGGATAATACTTCCATGGCCGTAGAAGAATTCACATTTGGTTTATAGTTATTTAAATTAACACCTGACGATATATTTGTATTCTCATTTACTTCTTCCGCATTTGATTTAGAGTTTTTTCTTTGTAATCTAATCATCTCTAAATATTGCTGTAATCTATAAAGGATCTTAAATTCTTCAACAATTCCAAAACTCGTTGGAAGAAAATTGAAAGATGAGCCATTGTAGGACGAGTTATATGGGTTTTTGTAATTTGCATTATTTTTCATATAGCATAATTTAATATTTCGAAACTTTAAATTAATGATTCTATGAGATGAAGAGTCGTCCAATAAAATGAGAATCTTCCTGTTAGGTGACGTACTCGTCAACTTATGATCTAAAGTTAATAAATAATTCTGAAACATTTCAGATGTAATCCATTTGTTGACGTTAGAGTTATAGAAAACATTGAATATTTCAGTTATTTTATTCATGATATTCTGTCTTGAAGTTGAATAGACTGATAAATTCTTGAAAGATGATTGAGAACTTGCACTAACATTAAACATATCATATTTGCCCACTACCAATGGACTTAATTTTTCAGATCCATCAATATTTGTTCCTATCATAATAGTCAAAGAATTTTCTGTAGAACTACTTGATTGTTTCAAACCTTTATCTATAGAGGAGACATCAAAAATTTGATCCAAAGGTAAGGAATAAAATAACTGGAACTCATCAATAGTAAAAATATCCTGTGGCTTGTAATTCTCCTGCTTAATCAAGTCTACCAAATAGTTCTTCAAACCTATTTTTTCGTCTAGCTTCCATACTTTATTCAATTCATGATTTCCTGGATTGTTAAGAATATCCTCCTCATTTCCAAATAAATTAATATTCAACTTCTTGATGAAATGGTTACACCATTTTTGATTAAACAAACCGTTTCCATCCTTTTCAAATGTTGGTAATCTATTCCAAATAGCATTAGCAGTCAGCTGGATAATGGGCGTGGTTATAGGAATATTCTCCCATGTGGCTTGCGTAACCCATTCTGTTAAGATTCTCCGAAGTATAGGATTTGACCGCTTTCTTCTACGCACTAATTGAAAATCAACTTCTTTTGAGGCTATCAAATCATTCTTGGCACACAATATTCTGGAAATTGTAGTTTGCGACGGTGGTTTAGACGAACCATACTCTTTTTTAGCCCATATGGCTAAATCAGCCTGTGTCATTTGTGGGTTTGACTCTGCTTTTAAGCAGATATCAATCTTTTGTTTTATAGTATATCCCATTTCTGAATTAAATTTATACCCACCGTATAATCACTACCATGACTTTAAAAATTGTTAATACACTATAAGTTTAACCGAGATCTTCTAAATAAAGAAACTTCTAAAATATCACTTCAATTAATCTAAACTAGTTAACGATAAGAAGCCTTACAACTATCTAAATCTGAATCGTCTAATCATAAATATCAACAATTTTTCTTTTGTATATTTTCACGTGATACAGTTTACAGGTATGGTATTTAATCATGCAACCTACAAATAGCTTGTAGAATATTCGAATAGCCTGGACCTTATATATTTCAATATTTACTATATTCACGCTCCTCGTATGGTTTATACAAGGAAATAGAGGAATATAACGAGTATTATGTAACGAAAACGCAATGTATTATAACTATTAACTTATAATATCACTTTATCACACACACTAACGGAGAGATCTAATGATTATTCAAGAAGACCAAAACTTTATCAAACACATCTTTGAAAATAATTTCATTCTCAATAAATAAGGAGTGTCTACCATCCTTAATTTCAAAGAAGGATTTGTCGATCTTATCATCTACTAAGTTGTAGAATTTTTTGGTACCTTCGATCCAATTGATGTTATCATTCGTACCGTGAATTACAAGTAGCGATGTTGCTGGATTGAACTTACCCACAAATTCAGGTTTGGTTAACGCTTCCCCACGGGCAAACATGTCAAAAAATTGCCTTGCAGTTCCAATTAATTTAGTATCGTGATTCATGATATAGTTCTTCCAGCCCTCATTCGAAGTAATGTAGTCGTAGTTTAATTTAGAGTCTATCTTTAAATTAGGAACCAATTTATTAATTAATGGTGAGAGTGCTCTCACAACAAAATTTGGTTGGGTTTTAGGGTGCAACAATACTAATGGTGCACAGGAAACCACACCCTTAATATGTTCTCTATATTTACCTTTGATAGCATAATTCAACACAATAGCACCGCCCATCAGGTGCCCCATTAAGAAGAACTTTTCTGTTGGGTCTCTTTTGAATTCGAGGTTATGTTTGATCATAAAGTCCAAATCATTGAAGGTATGTGCTTCATCTGTTTTACCAACCTGATCACCCGGAGATGTCTCACCAGCTCCTCTCTGATCGAAGAAAAAAATATCGTATCCCTTCTGAGACAATTTATCAAAGTATTCAGTATAAATAGTAGCATGTTCGCTAAATCCGTGGACATAGACTATTCGTCCTTTATATGGGACTGATTCCGGTGCTTTCCAGCTAACTGTTTTAAAGTTAGCCTTATCAAATTCAATAAAACCAACTTCTGGTTCATTCTCTGCCTTATAAGGGATTTCAACAACCATTATTACTCGTTTCTACTTGGTTCTATGATATGTTTATTAATCTTGAATTCGTAAAAAAATACATTCACTAACACAATCTGAACGTGAGAAGACATTTGCGGGTTACAATTGCGAACCTGAAAGGTACCCGAGGTATTTGAAAGGTTCCAATCTGATGAACGTCTGCTAATACTTCAATCATATTAGGCTATCAATTGTGACAGCTTGACTTATATATACTGATCGGTTATGCAGATTCAACTTTGGCTTCATTAGCTTCTTGAATAGAATAGATATTGAGAATTCCTGTTATGAGACTACATGAAACCACCAGCCCTTATTATGGCAGATTGCATACGGACTACGAATGTGCTTTGCTAATCGAAATGAATGTTATGTGATAATGTCCGTAAATACCATATAACTGGATTATTAGGCATTATTCATGTATTGAGACGAAATTGAGTAGTAAATGGCTGTGTCGGTGTCGCAGTTCGCAGCCGTGCTGTTATCTAGTCAAACTAATTAAATATATTAACCACACATCAGAGTTCCAACAACGACCCATATTAGAAATTTGTAGAGCAGATGTCAATATTTAAACAGATTTTACCCTTCGGTATGACTGAATGGTAAATAGAGATTGAGTTGACCAAGCATAGAGAATAAACTTGTAGCAGCAATGATTGAAATAACTGCAGTAATCTTTCAGAACAGCCAATTGAATATCGATATGTAGTTCGTGACTCCACTATATACATACCGACATAATCCGTCAGGCAAATCCCTAAGATGACTCTCTCCCTCTTAGTTTTAAACGTTAATATATTTTTCAATGTATAACCATGTAACAAGTGTAACTGTGCCAATATTGGTGCATTTTGAGTCAAACTTTAACCAAATAACTCCAAATTACATCCTTTATCTTAGGCTTTCATTGTTGTATATCATCCTATAGTCGTATA